TACTCCAGCACCTCGGCGAGATCGAGCTCCTACAATGCGCCAGCGCTCGCGCTCCCGCGGAGATCAGCGCCCCGCCCCACCCCACCCCGGTGCGGCGCGCCCTGCCCGGCGCTTGCTCGAGGGCGAGCCGCGCCATCTCGAGGCACTGAAAGGCGAGCTCGAGGTCGTCGGCCTCCTCCTCGTCGCCCTCGCCGCCCTCCTCGCCCTCCTCATAGTCCGCGTCCCCCTCGCCGCCGTCGCCGCCGTCGTCGCCCTCGCCACCGCCCTTGCCGCCGCCCTCGCCGCCGCCCTCGCCGCCCGCGCCGCCCGCGCCGCCGCCCTCGCCACCCGCGCCACCCGCCGCAGCGGCCGGGTTGACACCGACCGGCGTCTCCTTTGGAACTTTGCTGCCAAAGGGGTCGTCGGCCGCCTGCGCCTTACGCAGCAGTGCCTTGCCGTATTCCACGTACGCTGGTGCGCACTCGACCGCCTTCTCGCCGTGCGCCTCGACCCTGAGGAGCGCAAGCGCGGCGAGTCAGTCACCGCCGCCCGGGGCGGGGGGAGAGGGCGCCGAAGGTACGCGCGCCGCTGCTCGAGGACTTGGGCAAAGAGCTCGATGGCCGCATCCAGATCGCCAGCGGCGAGCGCGTCGCGACCCTGCTGCGATAGTGCGTCCGCCATTGCAAACGGCTCTTAGGGGGGGGGGGGGCGGGTTTTGGCGCTTTTCAGTCGCATTTTATTTTTGCATTGGGCACACTGTTCTTCACCTACCTACATACATACATACTCATGCTGAAATTCTGGAAAAACCTGGCCGGGCCCTGCCCCTACCCCTACCTACCTACCTATACGATGATACTATACCAAGCTGAAGTACCGAATCCAAAGAGAGAGACAGAGTTGTGAGTCGTATTTTATTTTTTTGAGAGCGCCTTCGTTGTTAATACTGTTGCGGCCTAAAGTCTGTGCAGGTTGTCGGGGACACGATCCCGGCGTGAACAGAACTAACTGACGAATCCGCTCCTGACAGTCGCACGCACCGCGCTGCGGCGCGTGCGACTGTCTTTGTTTCAAGTAAAAAGTCGAATCAGAGCGGTGTCGGCGTTGTCCCCGATTTTCTCCCCCGGGGGACCGTTCCGGGACCGCTCCGGGACGCACGCCGGCGAAGCACCATCAAGCTGTTGTACGGCCCCGGCATCGCCTCCCCTGGCTTAGCTAGAGTGAGAGATATTGTGCACATGGTCAGTCTCTAGAGTACAATATATACACTGACACTGAACCTCCCGGAGCTCGCCCCGGTCCGTCACGGCCATCCTCGGCCTCCGGAGGGCCCCCGGCCGCGGCGCGGTGCGGCGGCGTCACAAATCCGACCACAGAGCACCGGGACGCGGTCGGGCGATCTGAGGCCCGACTAGGGTCTAGGCGTATGCATTGCCTATCCAGGGCTATCACCTGGACCTATCAACAGGCGCCTGCGGCGCCGTGGTCAGGAGCTGCTGTTCACACTCGCACAGACTTTGACACGGCACAGTAGACAAACAAACCCAATGGTCCCTTGCAAGCGGTCCTTCGTTGCAGTCGCGCACTTTTATTTTTGCTTGGGCACACTACCTACATACATACATACATAGTGTCCACCCTCTCAACTTTCTCTCTCCCCTGAGACTCTCTCTGCTCTGTGAGAGAGAGGGGCTTATATCGTAAAACTCTCGCCGCGCGGCATTTTTGATTGAAACTACTCGAGTAGCGCGAACAGGCCATTTTGCCTTGCATTTCGTTGCATTATGCAATATTTGCATTCGTTGCATTTTGCGCGTGATTGCATTTCGTTGCATTATGCATTCGGTGGGCATTTCAGCTGCATATACTTTTTCTGCATTCTTTGCATCGGCGGGAAACTGCATTTAGTTGCATGGACTGACACACGGCCTCCATTGGGTGTGCACCTATGTCCAGTCCGAGCCTGGCTGTTCTTCACCTTTCTACCTACCTGGGCTTAGTTGTTTGCCACACACACGCACCCCTTTGGGGTCACAGCCCCCCCCCCCCCCCCCCCCCGTCAGGGATTTCTCTTCCTTGTTCTTTTCGGGTCTTGTTTTTAAAACTCCCTTTCTTGAGAGATTTTTAGCAATACCAATTCTTACTCTCTATGTTCTCGGCGTGCAAAATTCTTTTTTGGTGTACCTGTGTTATTGCCACTGCGCGCCAGTCCCGTGCCCAGTGTTGTGCGAGGGAGAGTTTCAAAATTCTTTTGTGGCTTTTATTTTCTTTTTTTGTGGCTCTCGCTGGTGGGCCGCATTCACCTCGGTGCCCAGGCTACTTCGGCCGCATCCACGCCCCATGGTTG